TTCTCACACTGATGATGCCTTTTAAACTCTCTTTTATCAGCTTCCAGTTTTAAAATTCTTGTTAAGTATTCCAGTACCAGAACAAACAGTAATGGTGAAACTGTATCACCTTGTCTTAAACCTCTTCTTTCTGGAAAGTAGCCTGTACTACTACCATTCAAGTTGAGAGAATAAGTGCAAGTTGACACACATTGCATAATCCATGTAGTGAACTTATCTGGAAATTTGTACTCCTTCATCATTTCCTCTATGAAACCCCAGTGGACTGAATCATATGCCTTTTTAAGTTCCACCTTCATCATACAACTTGGCCTTGAGTTCTTCCTTTGATATAATCTTATTAGTTCCTGTGCTAACAAAATATTGTGCAGTATCTATCTATGTTCTACAAAAGTACCTTGGTTCCTGTCAACCAGATCAGACAGCACTAGATTCATTCTTTTACACAACATTTTGGATATACACTTGTACACTATATTGCAGCATGATATAGGCCTATATTCAGTGGCATTCTTAGGACTATCATTCTTAGGAATCAAGGATATCAGAGTTGAATTTACTTGCTTTAAGATCTTGACATTCCTGAAGAACTCCAGTACTGCTTTAAGATCTTCACACACATCACTGTTGTATCCATCAGGACCAGGACTCTTGTTTTGATCAATACTGAACAAAGCTTCCTTAATATCCACCTTTGTGAAATCTTTAATCAAGAGCAACTGTTGATCAACAGTTAATGTTGTCCCTGACTCAAAGACTTCCTTCCTTGCTTCTGTTCTTTCCACTTGTGTTCCAAGTAAATCTTGATAATAGTTGAGAAAATGCTCTTCCACCTTCTGTTTATCTTCCTCCTCTGCACCTGTCTCTGTCACAAAGGATCTGATTCTGTATCTGATAGTCTTTTGTCTTATTGTAGCATGAAAATATTTAATATTAAAATTCCCTTCACAGATCCACTTTTCCTTTAAATTTTGAGCCCAGAAACTCATAACCGCCTTGCTAACTTGAATGTATTCTTGAGATATCTTTTTCTCCTCATTTTGTAAGTCTACATTCAAAGGATCAGTTTGTAATGCCTCCTGGATTGAAGTTAACTTAAGCTTGTATTCCTGCTCAGTCTCTTCTATCCTTGCAAACTGTTTCCTATAACTCCTTGAGTTTTGGCTTAAGTAATTTCTGCTTCTTGGCCAAAATAAACTGATGGCTTCCTGTTACCTCATTCCTCCATACATCTCTCACTATCTCCTTAAAAGCAAGATTTTGAGTCCACATATTGAAGAACTTAAAGGATCTTATCCCTTGGCAAACTGTTGTACCCCATCTGATTAACATTGCATTAAGATCTGAAACTCCAGCAGGCAGAATGGTATTGTAAGCATCAGGATAGCTAAGTAACCAATCTTCATTTACCATCACTCTATCCAGCTTGGAGATTATTCTAGTGCTTCTAAGTTGCTTATTTGACCATGTAAACAGACCATCAATGGTCTCCATTTCACACATTTCAGTGTCTTCAATCATCCTCTTAAATTCCTCTGTATCTGGACTCATATCATTTGTACCTCCAATTCTTTCTTCAGCTTTTATTATACAATTAAAGTCTCCAAGCATAATCCAGGCTCCTGTTATCTGATTAGCCAATAGTGTTAATTCCTGCCATAAACCTCTTCTTCTGGACGCATTATATTCAGCATATACCACTGTAACATAGAAGCACTTCTTGGTATCTAGTTCTTTGACTGACAGATGAATGAATTCTTGTTTAACCTTGCATACAGTTACTTGATACTCCCCTTTCTTCCACATTATCAATATTCTTCCTTTGCCTTCATTCCCTTCATTACTTACATACTCAAAATGAGGCCATTTCCTATTCATCATTTCTGTCACTTTTTCCTTATTCAGTTTTGTTTCTAAGAGAGCAGCTAATCCAACATCATTCACTGAGAGGTTAGTATCAACCTCCCTGTGTTTCAGGGGACTATTGAGTCCCCTTACATTCCATGATAGGATGTGACTCATGATTACTAGGCCCTGGATCAGGGGTACTAGAATCTGAATAACAGATGATGTTAAATGACCTCCTTTTCTCACAATTCTTTCCTTCATTGATCCTTATTCCCTTCTGATTCAATATTCTGATAGTTTCTTCATCTGAGTCTTCTGTTTTCTCCTTCTCAGTACTACACTTTGCCTTTTTTGGACTCTTCTTTTTTTGACAATCAACTGTTTTCTGATTTTTTGGAGAACATTCAACTCTGATCTCCTCTTTTTTTTTGATTCTACTCTATATTTATTGAACATTGTTTGTGTTCTGCCTCCTTCCTATTGTTAATCTCTAGTCTTTTCTGCCATTCTTTAACCACAGGAACTCTGCATTCATGAGCCTCATGGTCATATCTCTTGTAATTCAAACACTTGACTGGTTTCCACTCATACTTGACTGTTTGTTGCTTCACTTCACCTTTTTCATTTTCATACCATATCTCATCTTTCAACTTTTCTTTAATCCCACTTCCACCAAGACTCTAGCAAAAGCTGACCTTTGTTTTTTGCATTGTCAATTCATCCATTTCCACCGGCTGTCCAATCATACTTGCCAACTTACTTAATGTGGTATCATTCTAGTATCTCAGTGGTAGCTTATGGAGTTGAATCCATGCTGGTACTTTCTTGATATCATTCATATTGATGTCATCAGTTATGGACCAATCCTTCACAATAAAAGGCTTACTATCAAACTGAAAAAATCTCTGATCTAGAACTTCCTCTTTAGCTACCATTGATGTAAATCTGACAACAAAAACTCCATTTTCTAGTAATAAAACCTTGTCTATACCAAGCTTTCCCCATATTCTTCTGATGAAACCATTAACAATCGAGAATGGCGGATTAGCACCAAGAACATAGCAAATCAATGATGGTTTTCAGAAATCAATTTCAGACTGAATTTCCTCGTGAGTTATCTTCCCAATTTCACAGTTATTGACCTTCGATGGCTCAATGAATCTCAGTTTCTTGGATTGATTCTGAAATTTCTTAATGTCAAACTGTTTCTATACATTTTCAATCGGAGTTTCCTCAGGTCTCGAACATTCCAATTCATCAAGATTCTTACTTCCCGACCCTTCCCCCACAGCTACAACACGTTTATTACACAATTTTTCAAACATTAAATGCTTCTCAGACATGCCATTAATGGCGGTTTTAGGATTACTGACCTGATCTTCTTGTAATAACTGCAGCTTACTTCCATCCGTTGATCGCCCAGCAACTTCAATCTCCATTGCTCCTCCCTTTTTCTTCGATTTCTTAGCCATAGCGGACGCAGAATGCATTGAAGAAATCTTGAAGCTGAAAACACACACTCGATGGTGAAATCGCCCCCAGTTCAAGAAAAGAAAGCGCGTGACATGGCACGTGTATTCCATCCTAATCCTAAATGACTTTTTTGATAATTTAATTATTCGTTAAGAGTATTTTTTGATATTTTGTAAAATAGTTAGGGTTTAAATTAAATAAACCTTGTGGGTATTTTTGATTATATCTACTGCTAAATTAAACTGCAAAGAACTGCTTATGATTCTGATAAAAATTGTAAACAATGGACAAATGATGATGAGCTATATATTTTGCAGAAAACATAAAGAAAGGCGAACTCGTATTTTTAAAGTAAATTTAACAAATTTGTTTTTTTTTCGAAAAAAAAATAAATTTTACCAATTTTATGAAGGCAACATCCCCTTTTTGATTAATTCCTTTGGAGTTCCTTGGTTTGGTTAATTTTTCAACCATGGTTAGTTTAACCCTGGTATAGCCCGTCAATTTATTTACTGAATAAATGACACGACATTCCGAATAATTTTTTTAAAAGAAAATGATGGTTTTGTTACTTTTCCATATTGTTATTTTTGAAAACAAAAAACACTTTTATCAAACATCACTGGACTCTAAATAAAAAAATAAAATTAGGAAGATTGTAGATCATCACAAAGATATATGATATCCTCGTTGATAAACAAGATGAAGAACCTTCCACTTTCTTATTTTTGATTTTTTTTTTATATTTGCAGGGTGTCCACCATCGGCAACAGTGACTAATCCCTCTCACTGAATTACAGACACTTCGATGGATGAGACAACTAGTCAATGTATTTAAGGTTGTTCCATGCTCATGGCAAAATTCGAACTCTCGACCTATGATTAAGGGTGGAAGAGTCCCTTCCACTTTCTTATTGACCACCAAACATTACAAAATAAAAATCACCATGTAATGCTACATTTGAAACTCCCAGATCCCAATCATGTGCACAATAACAAAGCTTCTCCCAAAACTATCGCCTCTGGAAAATACTTTTCGATAGACCTTTGCTGTTTGCTCCATTAAATTTTCAACCTTGCTTGGTGCGTTGTAAAGCGGCTCCTTTGTTGTAGACATTCTTTTTCTTAGTTGTTAACCACAATTAGTGAGATACTCTACGTTGTCAAATGGAATGGCAAAGAAGGGCTTGTTAGCTAACATTTTGTTTTGGTTTTTGTTTTAGTTTTTGATTGGTTTGAGATGTGATTTAAAATATAGTTTGAGAGAAAATTAAAAAATTATTTAGATAATGTTTTTAATAAAATAATAATATTTTTAGATTACCATCAGACCACCTCCACTACCGGCGCCACCGCTGGACCGCCGTCGGTCGGCGGCCGACCGCTGGAATCCGATCGAAAACCGGCCGGCCAGCGAAGATCCGGCGGCGGACGGTAGCAGCGGAGCGGAGATGGTCCGATGATGGTGTAAAAAAATAGTGTAAAAATAATGTTTGAAATAAAATTTAAAAAGTAAATTAAAAAATTGTTTAAATAGTATTGGATTTTGTGTTTGAAATAATAAAATGAGACAAAATACAAAATGAATTGTTGACCAAACAAGTCCTAAATTTAACTCGAGTACCGAGTAGGTAACTAAATGTAAGATTTTTGTCTTTGACTTTTTTTTTTTTTTTGTTGGGTGATAAGATGATGTCTTTGACTATAGTTATTGGCAAGGTAATTGTCAAGTGCAATAGTTATAATTTTTTTTTTTACCCGCCCCAGTAATTTATTGTGACACTTCAATCTTCTTCAAGAATTTACAATTATATCCCCACCATTTAGACTTTAATAATATTAGAGGTTTGTAGAGAACTTACAGTTATGTTGATCAATTGGAAAGTATTGATGAGTGCCATTACCGGCAAAGAGCTGAAGAACCTTGCTTCACCATTGCTTGAGCTTCCCACGTATGAGTTTTCCAGAGGTAAACAGATACTTGCAGTTGCAAAGAAGAATTCGAGTAATCTTCGCAATGCAATGAAACAATCGCGGTATCTGTTTCCTCAAAGGAGATGAATGACGATCATCAGGTATTTCTTGAGTTCTAACACAAGATCGACTCAAGTTTCTGGATCTCCAATTTATGCAGAAAGCAGTTGGCAAATACAGACAGCGAATGCCAGAAATGAAAAGGAGAAACTGCCCTAAAACCTCTTGTATTGCACTAGAAATTGCTGTCTCAGGCTCTTCCTATACACTGTTCTGTTCAATATGAATTCGAAGATGCCTACCAGAACATAATCGTAAAAAGACTAAATCATCTACAAAATTTTCTTCACCTAACCCACACTAAGTGCAGCTAGATAGAAAGCTAGATAGAAGAGAGTAAAAGTTGCCGTGAATCATTGGCACCCGAAGAGACACATGAAAACTACTTCTTTTCTGATGCTGGTGTCTTGTGTTTTTTCTACCTTGGTTTTCCTCGAAAGACTTGAGAATTTCTGCTGCCAGAAAATCCTTAGCATGTCCGCATTCATCATTGCCTCTGAGTCTCCCATTCCAGATAGTTCCCCAGCTGTACTTCCACCTGGTTTCTTTCATGATCTGGAGAATTTTTTTTTTTTTTTTTGGGCATGGCAGCGCTATTCAGCAGCTCTCTCTACAAAACTCCGGAGCAGTTACGGCTTCTTGACCAATAAGAAGTACCTGATGAAAAATATAACCATATCTTGCATTGGAATTGTAAACGCCTTGCTTGGGTCTAATTGGCAGTGAAAGACCTGAATCCTATTACTTTGACCAAGGGAGAAACAGCAACACCTTGCTCATCATTGCATAGCAGTCTTTAACTACTTCCACATATCATATAGCTGTAGCTCCTTCCAATCCAAAGACCAGTTCCTGTGAAAAGCCAGATATTCCCTTTCCTGGGAGGATGCAAATACTAGAACCTTTAATCTACTCAATCCCGTGTCCAAAAGTATTTAAATTTGTTAAAGAGTAAATGCTTGCCAACTCTGAACTCTCCACAGGTCATAGTAACACCACGGCAAACACAATACAGGATCCAACACGTTGTAGCTTTTAATGTTCAACAGCTAATGCAGTAATGCAAACTTTAACAGATTCTGCGAGATCATGCCATGCATGAAAGCATAAAACCAAGACACCCCATCTTTGTTTATCATATCCACAACTTGGTTTTCAGCTATTCCACCCTCGACAAAATCATAAATTCTGGATAAGGCAAATTAATGGTCATATATCATTAGTTTTTTGCGTCTGCAACAACTGACCTAGAATGCAACGACTCTTTCAGACCCTTTGGAATGGGGTCACTTACACAATTTTGGTAGTCATTCTGACCATCCCTTCCCAAAGTCGATTTGAGTTCATTTACACGTCTTCTTTGCTGACTTTGCTCCTTTGCCAAAAATGGAAACATTGTTAGTCGATGTACCATCAGTCTTAGTAGTGGCATTACTCTTCTTCCCAACAGTCTCTAAATTAACTGTGGCACGAAATGGCTCTTCACGCCCTCTCTTCCTACGATCTCTTGTTGCCATATCACGCACAGTTTGTGCAGCATCCATGGCTGGTGTTGACATATTTGAACCACCAGAGTTGAAAAATGAGTTCTGTGGAACACTGTCCCTGCTCTCTGAAATTCTAGTAGTTTCCACTTTCAAATCAGATGATGTGTTACTAGCTGGATTAACACCGTTCTGCTTTCTGTAAATATTCCTTGATGTGTTGCGCTTTGGAGGTGGAGGAGGCACCATTGTCGCCAGGAAGGGCAGGCGACATTTGGGACACACAAGATTCTTATTCAGGTAAAGAGTCACGTATTCATATCGCATCATGCATCGCTTGCACAAAGTCCAGAAAGTATTGCTATTTGTTTTACGGGGGGTAGAGTCAGTCTGAGGCTTAGTTGGGTTAGAGGAATTATTGGCAGTTGTTGATGAACTGGAGAACCTGGTACTGCCATTTGACATATTGGGAGTAGTATTGGGCTGAGGATTAGATGAGGCGGAGGAATACCGGGCAGCTGTTGGTGAACAAGTGAACTTGGTACCACCGTTTGATTTACTGGGAGTAGAAGCAGTGGAAGGATAAGAAGGGCCAGAGGGCTTCCTGGTTGCTGTAGATGAACTGCTGAAATTGTACCTACCATGCACTGATGGGTTCACACCAGTAAACTTATTATGTGTGGCCCTTACATTCAGTTTCTGGTCATAAACAGCTTTCTTAACCTTATCAGACAGCAAAGTCCATGCCTGAGAAATGATTTTAAATGCACCTTCTGCACCAGCAGATTTGTTCTTATCAGGGTGGACAGCGAGGGCCAATTTCCTATACTTCTTTCGTAATGTTTCATCATCAGCGAAACGATCAACGCCGAGGACCTTATACCAATCTACTTCTCCATTTACTTTACTTTCAACAGCAGTAAACACGTCCAGTACCTCTTGAAATTGAGAAAGTCCCTCAAGTCCAGGAAACAAATCTTGAGCCTTGGAAGCAAATCTCTTAGCTCCTGATATGTCCTTCTCAGCCAACTTCTTCTCAGCAATTTCTTTGGCCCGAATTGCCTCATCTTTGTTACATTCCATTTCAAGGAAGCGTTTTCTTCACAGTATCTATTGATACAACTTGTTATGGGCAGTGACTGATAATACTCGTGAAGTGACGAATGAGCAATCAGTCAATGATTCCAATTCTCAGATCATTTGTTATCCAAACAACATTCAAGATAGTTTTAGCATCACTTTGTTACCTGTCCAAAAAAGAACGAGATGTTAAATTATAGCTTCAAGAAAGGACTCATATGACAAGTAGTAATAAGATGTCAAAGAGCAACAAAGCATAGATTCGACGATAACTATGGCATGTTACAAACCAATAAACGAAAGAGTTCAATGCATCTTACGAAAGTGGCTTAATAGCCGCAAATTCAGAAGTTACTAAAAGGAAAAAGCAAGAATACATGCAATTACCTAAAAAAAAAAATCATTCATCTTTTTATATGTATCAATAGGGCACTTTCTCTATGTTGTTATAAAATATTCTCCAAACTGAACATACTGTACCTAGCTTACTGATTTGAACTTTTTTTTCCTTTCCATACTGATCCCAACATTTTCCATCAACAGCTACAAAGTAATGTTTCGAACAAAGGTAAGGCAGAATAACACGCTGGATCAAAGAGATTTTAAAAGACCCCAGTGGCAAAAACTTCAACCCTAGCGTAGTAATATTTCAAGTTAATGTACAGAAAATTATCATGCAACATCAAAAGTTTAAATCTCTAAATATCCAAATTTGTTATCAAACTAAGTTACCTTATACAGAAGAGAATCATATTAAACAGCCACTGAGATAACTAAAGTAGTTTAACCCTTCCAAATAAGCATCTTAAACTAAATAGCCTTAAAGCTTCAGCCTTTTATTCCATTCAGGCAAAATTCAAATACAACAAGCTATCAACCAGTAAGTTGAAGGAACAGTTCCTCGTAACAAATTAACAAAATCCATAATTTAACAACAAATTAACAGCACAAATAGGAAACACATACACAGACCCCTTAACAAATAGTAAAACACACACACTCACAGTCACCTACTAAAACAGAGGAGCTACCCAATGTTGTTTTCCATATTTGGAGCCTCAAACAACCAAGCCCATTAATCAACACAAATTCACTCTCTCAATAAACATGCAGAACTAGCATTATAATCTGATAAAGCCCCAGAATCATCCATCTCAAGCTCCCAACAAAAACCCTAAAAAAAAAAAAGTCAATATGCAGCAATTAAGGACTGTATCAATGTGCAGCAACTAAAGACTATCACATCAAAATTTTGTCCCAAAACACTTAAAACAGAGGAAAGATGAAAGCATGAAAGAGAAATTACCCATGTACATTGATAAAAACTACTGGAATACTTGCTGTCAAATGGCCTGTTCAGTTCAGTTATTTCCCGCAAATTGGCAAGTTTTTCAGATTGAAAAGCTCAAGCCGAGTAGTCGTATCTGCTAATTTAAACGGCAAAACGAAGAACTGTTTGATTTAAGAAAATTCTAAAGATTTTCCATAAGGCTGAGAGCTATATTTTGCGGAAAAAACCAAGAACGGGAATTACTATCTCCAGTTCTCCTTGCATTTAAAGTAAATAGTCTGATGACTATTGTCAGGTTAAAATCTAACCATGGTTACTTTTAACCCTGGTTACTGAGTCAATTGTTGATTACGATGATAAAATACGCTAATCTAAATAAGTGTTTTTCAAGACATTACGCTATATTGAATAAGTCTTTTATACTAAGACTAGTGATGTTTGATCGCGCAATGCGTGACCCTGGCCCAATATATCTGTAGATCTTAGAAATGTTTGTATTTGAAAAAAAATATTTTGTATTTGGCCCGATATATTTAGAAATGTTTGAAGAATTTAGAAATGTGTTATAAGTATGATCATAGAAATATTTTATTTGGCAAAAAAAAAATTGCATTTAGCCCGATACGTTTTAGAAATATTTGAAGATTTTAGAAATGTTTTATAAGTGTTACTTATTAAATATAAATAAACTTGATCAAATATATGTCTTGAAGTAAATGTTAGACAAAATATAAAAGTATCCTAATAAGTTTAAATATTAGTAAGATGATTTATTTATATTCTCCGTTTGTCGTGCCGAATCAATACTTAATTTTGGAGATTTATAATAGTTTTGTAGTAAGCTTCCTCCGAAGGGTATACGTTTAATTGTTGGAACTGTTTCTTCCAAAGATTTATATGTAGTAAAATATTAAAAATATGATTTTGAAACTGGTTAATTGTTGAAACTGGTTGATCACAAATATGAGAATGAAAATTAATGTAAATTTGCATAGGTTTCAAGTTATAGCAAAAAAGAACTCACCTCACCATGGCAAATAAAAAAAAAAGTAAGTAAAAGAGCCATTAAAAATTGAGAAATTTTTTTTTTCCTGTAGGTAAAAATGATGTATAAAAACACAAATAAACGTGGAAACATCATTCTTTCCCTCTCCACCTCAAATTCTTCTTCCCCATAAATTAGTTAAAAGAAGCGACCTGAACTATTTATATGATGAGGAACTCAAAAAAGTCCAAAAACCAAATCCAAAAAAGTATATTCTTGAAATCCCGAACACAAAAAAAAAAAAAACAAAGCGCTTCATTTGCACAAAAAAAAAAAATAATAATAATAATAATAATACTAATTGGTCAACTGGGAGTATGAAATAAAATAAAAAATAATTAAATAAAGAAAAAACATAATTCATAACAAACCATATATGAAAAAAATTGAGACTCCATAACTAAAAAAAAGAAAATCACTCTAATTGAATGAAACATAAAAAAGAAATTAAAAAAACTACATTTTGTAACAAAAACCCAATTGATCAATTCAATCCAAACAGAACTAAAATCATACAAAAATTCTAGGCTAATTAATCATATAAGAAATCACATCATATTACCTAGTAACAGCTACGATAACTGTAACGGGTGGACGCATAAAAATAATAGTAACAATACTATTCTATGAACGGCAAAAAAAAAAAAAAAAGCTATACAAATGATCTGTGGATATAAAATCATTTAAATTTTAATATTTGTAATGGCACTACCACAACGACCGAAGCAAGATCAATGAGAAATTGTTTTTTTTTTCCCTTTGTGTTTACATAGAGAGATAAAGAGAATATTTTTTGAAGTCAAAATTTATTCGATTAGGATGTAGTTGATCATCACTAATGAAAAGATTGAACATGCTAATAGAAATGAGTATATTTTACCACTTATTCTCAATTAATGATTGATGAGGAATTTGTTTTATATATTTTTTTTTATTGTGGAGAAGGAATTGAGTAGGGAGTTGATTGTCGTAGAGATGGGGATGAGAATTTGGGCTATTTATGAAGCCTTTTTTTTTTTGTTTTGGCAAAAATAGGAGGTGGTGCTTTCTCTAAAGTGTGGTTTTTGTTTTTAATATAGTAAGATATAATCGACATGTTAGTAATGTTTTAATTTTATCACCGAATAATTTTAAAATATCTTTTTTTCCTAAGACAATTATTATATTACTACTTAGCTCGTTGTTTGCCATAGAAAACGTTTAACCGATTGATTTAACTTTGAGCTGCCAAGTGAGGTGGTTTCATTTATGATAGATTTGTTGTTTTTGAATCTAGAATATATAGATTACAATTAATTCAGTAAGTCTCCAAGATTTTTTGGTTCGTTTCTTACCATGGTTGGTGAGGTGATTGTCAAGTGAATTTGTTACAACTTAAGTAATTTAACTGTAAGATTTTTTATTTTTTTTTTGTCTTGAATCATAGTTATAACTTATTGTGGTTTATCTATAGTATGATAATATAACAAGTTTTTTAAGAAAAAATCACTTGTATTTAGTATCATGAGAGAAATAGATTTTGTTTTGAAATTAAGATTGTATTCTAAAAATTTCCAATCTAGCAAGATTTTGTGGAGACTGAAAACATGAAGACAGAAGGATGTATCCTGAATTCTGATGCACTCCAAACAGATGCAACCCACTAACAAATTTTATATACGATAAAAAGCAGAGATAAGAAAGACTGATTACATCGTATTTCAATCACGATTTGACTTTTATTGGTAAGTGGTGCAATCATTAAAAACCTGCTTAGCTCTTTTTGATTAAAAAAAAAAAAAGGAAAGTGAGATATTGCTTATAAAACTTATGCGGAATGATAAAATCTAGCCATATACAAGGTGAATGAAAGCATAGGTAAGAGTATGATCACATACTTTTCAAATATATTTGGTAACCCACTGCTTCACACAGAAACCTTTATTATTTCTTAAAATCAACAGTGAAAGGATTCAACTGCAGATTTCAACATATTTTCATGACAGACTCTTGCTCGAGTGCATCACCACAAACCACCCAGGAATTGTGTACTAGAATGACTAAATTCAATCAAATGTGGAAAGAACCATTCGATATTGGAAACATATATGCGGAAACTGGAGTGCTTCCCCATGATAAACAATGGCTGATCACATGCAGAGCTCATCATCTATGTACCTCAAAGCAGCAAAAGAAACATTTTGGACGCCTCCCCATGTAAATATGCCACTCTTCCATCTTGAAGCTGCAAAGGTTGAAGTTCCCAAGAAGAAAACAGAAAACGTGTAATGTATATGAGTCGTGTTGAAGAAAATGAATACTAGCAGTAGCAAAGAATTAAGTGATTTGAAGAATCTCCAGGAATGCAATGAATACCATCATGGTATTTGCTTCCACCAGCAGATGAAGATGGCCTTTGGGTATTCCAAACAAGAGATCAACTCTGAGGCTTGCCATAAAGCTGGGCATAGACTCTCTTGGTTCGGTGAACTACTATCAGGCTTAGAACAACAGCAATTGCGCAGAGTCCCGTCATGATCCCACATGTAAGAGAATAACATATGCTACCATGACAAGCCAGTGTTTTTGCTTCCTCAACATGTGCATTACCAAGTACCAAGATAGTGTGTTGTTTCTTGGCCTCATAATCATAAATTCCACTAGCTATAACACCAGAAAAGATTAGAGAACCTGCTGGACTTGCTAGTGTGAGGAAATTATACAAAGCACCAAAGCTTTTTAGTCCGAATAACTCAGAAACTGCAGCTGGCACGATTGCCCAGTGAGCACCATATCCAAGTCCAATTAGCACACATACTACATAAATTGCCCCAGGCAAGGCCATAGCATAGTAGAAAAGAGCAATAGCCATAATGATCTGCACAACAGCCATTGCGACTGGCCTTGGATATGCATAGTACCTGAGGGAATATAGTAAATTAGGTGCAGATAAAGGGATCTGTACGACATTTCAAGAAAATCAAATATCATACCTTATAATATTCTCAGAGAAGTATCCACCAGCAATACGACCAAGGAAGTTCCATATACTAATCATTGAAACAAAAATGTGGGTATTGGTATAACCCAGGGATTGGCACATTTGGCCAAGATTATCAATCACAGTCAACCCAGATCCAGAAGCCAGTACTAATGAGATAAAGATGAGCCAGAAATCTGCCTTCACAAGTGCCTGTAGCAATGTGAAATCCTCTCCTCTCCGAGGACCTTTTCTTCTTTTAACCCTCACGGCTCCTTCTGCAGCTGCTTGAAACAGTTTAGCTTGCAAATGAGCAATTCTTTTTCGCCTTTCAGATGATGGAAGTAAATCAACATCTGAAGCCTTCTCATCTTCTACCTCACTGAAAATTACCTCATTACCATCCTGTGTGGAATTACTAGTTTCCTGTTTCTCAGAATCAAGAAGAGGCCTTTCTTCCACTGGAGGCTTTGGTTTTGAGAAGAAAACTAACAGCACAGGAATTGTAATTGGAAGTAGAACAAGGACAATCAAAAAAGTTGTCAATATTGTGACCAAGTTCTGGCTTAGAGTGACGAAATCTTGAAGTATCAATAATGCCAACATATATGCAGCTAGAACAAGACAAATGCTGTAAGTAATCATGAAGCTTGTGCCATCAGAGCTTCTGATTTGCCTGTGACCTCCAACAGGTCGAACGATGAACATAAGAGCTGTAATTACAATAGTTGGTCCAACAGCAACCATAAAAATCAGTGATGCTTGATCTCGAAAATTTATCATGGCATATATTTGAGTCAGAATAGCACCACTTAACCCAGCAAATCCCTTTAGTATCCCAACTATTGGACCACGGCTTTTTGGGAAGTTCTGAACGCAAGAAACAAGAGCTCCTGTATTGAAGTATGTCTCACCATTTGTCCCAACAAATATCAAAATGCATAACTGCAAGTAGAGAAAAAAAGTAAATGAAAAGAAGACGTGAAAAAGAAGATGCATGTAAAATGGTAAAAGGTGGTTATTCTGGCGTATCTGTGCACAAGAAAACAAAAAGACTTGAGAATAAGCCTTCAACACAGCACCAGAATGATTAACCAGAGGGTCTCAAAATATCCTGGACACAGCAGGTACAACGAGAATGCATCAAAAAGATTTTCCCTCATTAAATGACTTCATTAGAGAATATGACTAGTGACTTCATTTTTTCGTAAACAAAATATCCTAACATAAAATGTGAAAGAAAAGCTTAGGAGGACGGTCAACTGGATCACAACTTGCAAGAGATATACTCTTCACCAGAGGAATTTGTAGATTGGCGCCGGTTAAATTGGGTCGTGTGTGATCTGAGATTGTTTATATGCAACACAGATGGTTTGTCATATAGATAATCTGTAAATCTTTGGATATCTCCTCTTTGTTTCCTTATTTGGTCTCTCTTTCGAAAGAGCTATTTACTTTGTGGTACCTGAAGTTGTTATTCCAATCTTTTTAGTACTCTGGAATTCAACTTCTCCATTCAGCAGATTTCCTGAGCAATCATTTTCAATAATTAACTGCAACATGCTATAGTGAAACATGCTGCTTGAGTCTAATTAACCCTCAATGCATCAGGGCTTTCAATACAATCCTAGAGAAGTTCTCTATTATGACAGTATCAAGGTTTATTTACAGACTTCAGCAGCCAATTCAAGTCTAGTGATATCTAATATCAGGGTCCAATAAATTCTAAGTTATGAATTTGGCAATCAGGCAAAGCAGGAATGAATATAAAGCACAGACAAACATCACAGCCATCTGATGAGGAAGTCAATTGCAGTACTACATTATACTGATTATTATTTAAGCATTTGAGCGGTGACTTGAACGACATGAAGAGAATCCTATCAATTTTTGTCAAGCTTAATGGAAACCGAGAAGTAGAACCAAGATTTGGTAGTCCGGAAAAAATTTGGATGCAACAGGAAGGAAAAAGGAAAACTGTTAAAAAGGATGGCTTTCAAGATGATACTTATTCCTTTCACAACTAGTGCCAGCCTGCATACACCAGTTTCACCAAAGAAACCCCAAGAAAGAAATGGATAAAGTAGACTTTAAGCAACAGGATCACGCCCCTGATCATAAATCTTCTTACCAGCAACAACAATCATGATCTCTAATTAAGAGCAGATAAACATGATCTGAAAAGCATACCCAAAGTCCAGCTTCTATCAGTTAAGATTTTAATCCATTAACAATTAAAAGAAAAACATTCGACCAGTGATCAGAAAGGAACAACAAACAACTTTTCAGATAGTATAAATAATCAATTCAAAATTCCACATGGGACATAAAAAAACAGAACAACCCACAAAAAGGAAGAATCTTGAACAAACTTAAAAGCGGAGAAACAAAGAGGGAAAAAAAGTGAACTAACCACCCAAAGAGGCAAATTAGGCAAAGCTCTTATAACAATGAGCCAAACCAAACCGTACCCAACAAAATTCTGGACAACCCCAATGAAAAGAACCATCCAAATAGGCAAAACTTCACACAGAGAGCCTCCAAGAAATCCAATAGCATCTCCCAAGTCCTTAGCCACTCCAAGTAAGGCTATTTGCCTCTGGTTGTACCCCATGTTAGTCTTAATCACTGGAGAAAGACTTCCCCATAGATAACCAATTCCCGAACAAGATTGAACCCACATTGAAGCCACAAACACCAGCCATCTGTTGTTGTAGAAAGATGTAAGTTTCTCTCGAATTTCTGTCATGGTTGATTATTTGTAGCTTTTCTTGATCAAAGTTTGAACTTTTCAGGGGAAACATGAACAACCCTCGATTATTTACTTGCAGAAGTTGCTGATTTTGACTGTTCTTTCCATTTGTGAACAGAGGTTTTGATTTGAGAGGATTTTTTGTGGTTCTGGTTTTTGTCTGTGAGACTGTGACCCTCTTATAGCTTCGTGATTGAAAAGTAAAACTGTCACTTTCTATCCAAACCTCAATACTCCAAAAATCTTCATTCTTCACCCACTTTGTTGGGGAAACAGTACGTTTTCTGATTCGCATCTGTAATTGATTGTGTCCCCCAAATTATGAAACTTTCTTCATTGGATTCTTCAGCGAAGTTGTAGCGGATTTTGCAGGCATTATGCTGAAGAAGTACCAAGATAATGTGTTAAGTAGGTGTGCTTATAATATCGCCCAAAGGGCTTGAAATCAAATGGAAAGGGAAAGATTTATCCATTAAAGGGTGTGCTATGAAGATGAGATAGTCTTTATTTTGGTATGATTCACATTAATTAGTGAAAACTATATAGCGGTCTCATGATTTTATTAGTGCAGTAATAAGTCAAATGATTTGACTTTTATGTTAAAGAACAGAGCAATTATAGAGACAGTGACAAATTATAGTTAAATAAAATAGTGACAATTGAAAAGACAAATATACCATTCTCATTAAATATGTGTATTTATTAATTAGGGGTAAAAATGTAATTTTTAGGGAAAGATAAAATTTTAACGGGAAAGTGACAAAAAAAAATCTAGGAGGCTAATAAACGCCCTAAATTTTTCCATGGAGCGCCCTAACATAACATTAAAAGACTATTTTGCCCCTACCAGATTTTATAAATTATAAGTTTCAATTTCATTCTTTCAATTCCTAAATCAATCTTTCATTCCAAATTCTCTTATTCCAAAATCCCAGAACTCAGATTCAATAGCGGAATGAATGAAACGGCTACGAAAAAAACTACAGAAATTGAAGGTACGTTAAAATTTGACTTTTTTTTTTTAAAAAAACCCTTGCCCCGGCCGGCGAAGGAGAACCGCGCCGAGACAAGTAGAGCTGGCGCTTCTTCGCCCCTCCTTACAGAGTTGGCGCGGATCTCCTTAATGGAGGGGGTAATTGTACATGAACAAAACCTTAAATGGGAAATAGTTCATTAATATGTGAAATCCCAAAATGAACACATTATTTAAGGAGGAGCAGAGAATACGTCTAAACTACTTTCTTGAGTTTACCCCATTTGATAGCTCGACCATTGGATTCGACAACTTGGGATAGGATTAACGGATTAAGTTCTATATGCGTGATTTAGAATAAGCCACGAAATCACTATATATCGATCATTTCAAAATTTCAATTATGAGTAGTAATCGATCAAGTAACATGTTATTACTCGAGATCGAGAGTCAGATAATATTTTACATATATAAAATTAGGAAAATGATATATATATAGTGAATGAAAATAGTGACAAAATATAGTGACTGATCTGGACTAATCACGGTTCCTAATTTTTTGCTACTTTTCCGTTGAAGTTTTTATTTTTTCAAAAATTACATTTTTACCCTTGAATAATAACTAGACATGTTTGTTAAGTGTGTGGTGTATTTGTCTTTTCATTTATCACTATCCAAATTCACTATAATTTTTCACTATTTGTATCATTGCTCACTTTTCCGTTGAAGTTTTTATTTTTTCAAAAATTACATTTTTACCCTTGAATAATAACTAGACATGTTTGTTAAGTGTGTGGTGTATTTGTCTTTTCATTTATCACTATCCAAATTCACTATAATTTTTCACTATTTGTATCATTGCTCATAAAATTATTACTAAACAAAAAAGTCTGATATTTCATAATTCATATAATTAATGGAACAAGTTAACTATGGGTTCACACTATCTTTTTATATATCATTAATCTTCGGTTAATCAATAAACTTCTAATAAAATCAACCAGTGATTGTATCTTAATTCCGTAAATTAAGTAAACATAAAAGTTTTGATCACTTCATCAAAATAAAAAAAAAAATAAAGAAAAGAAAAGGAAGGGGTGGCTGCTAAAAATTTAATGTAGTGAAATTCCCATTTGAACATTTAAGGATCATAATTTGTTCGTTTTCAATCGCTTACATATTTTCCCTTATGAATTATGGTGAAAGAAACTCAAATTGAATACGTAAGTGGGCGCCAATGGTGGGTACCTAGTTCCTTTGTTTTCTGTTTTATGCCAAATAGGCAAATACTATGTATAGAGTAACACATTGAAAAGATGTTGAAATCAACTTTTGAAGCATAATTTGGATTAGAATTCTTTTCTTGATTATCATTCTCATACTCTTCTTGATTATCTTTCATTATTAATTCTGGGTTTCTTACTTTTTTTCTCCCCCATGAAATATAAAATTTTGCATTTGTGATTCACACTTAAAATAACGTTAATTTAACAATGTAAAAAAAAAAAAATCGAGTTATTCCAATTTTGTGTCCCAAGACATGGGGGAATATCAGCAGACAGTTGTTAAGGAGCAAACGTCCGGAAGAGGAATAGTATTTTGTCTAGAAGAGTTACAGTAATGTTTTTCATACTCCTTCCGTCCTAAAATTATTGTCCAGTTTATATTTTCATTTTTAGTTCAAATTATGCTACAAATGAAATCTTAAATTCGACAATAATTTTCAAAGAGAGGGAGTATTATTTTAGTTTAAGACGTAATACTTGTTTTTGGATACAGATAGTATAGTATAAAAATGATTGATTGGTTTCTAATAACAACATTAACATAAAGCTGATACAAAAAATTTTAGCATGATCCCGGGGATTTGATTACATCAATTTAATTTGGTCCATCGGCTATACACATTTCTTTTAACGAATCTCAAAGCATTAGTTTTCCCCTCTCAAAAATTTTATTGTTTTGTCAATTAATCAAACCCAATCCTTAAGAAACAAGCTCCATTGCCCAAACCCTTTAAGAATTGCACACTGAGTATCTAGCACGTTTTCTTTTCACCTTGTCGGTGCTATATGTGGTCTAGCTGAATAAAACAAAAAAAATGTGGATGTCTCTATGGAGTGCGTTGCAACTTGCAAAGATCCATTTAATCTTTCAAACTCAAAAATTGATGTGAAAAATTGAATAAATTGCTATCTCTAGTTCCTAACTACGCATATAGGAGTTAACTTATCTGAAACCACAACCAGATTTTATACTAAGGACTAGAGAGAGGTAAATGGACAAGTTTCAAGTAGATGTTTGGTTCCACCTTATACTGACATGGTAGTGTAAATACCATTTCGATTTCCTTTCCATTCTCCCGGTTGAAATGTTCATCTTGTCTGATTATCTTTCTCCAATACCAACTAACCTCTCATTTTCTAATTTTTACAATAATTTTTAGATGATACTATAATTTTTATGAATCTAATTATAAGATTTACGTTTATGAAGTTTTATACTATTTTTGTTCCAAAATTATTATTATCTAGTTTGGATACTCACATTTACTTCAATTTCTACTAAACATTAAAAATCTAACTGTACAATAATTTCGAGACGAGGGAGTACACTTTTTTTGGGGGTAGAGCGAGTATAAAAAATGTTGGCCTATGTAAAGGAAGATCAAGAATTTTGGCAGGCAAATCAACGGGAAGTTGCGGACCATTCTTGAACCATGGGAGTTGTCCATCCAGGTTAATAATACTAGCAGATTCATGTGCTTGGAGCCTAGGTCAAACATAAAATAGGATTTGAATGGTATCACTAACATCCAACGATTTGAGTTTATATTGTTCTGGGGAAGTTTGCATCCAAAAAGAGTTTAAATTAACTTATTTTCTTTTCTTCTTTCCCTCCTTTTGGTTATCAACTTGGAGATTTTACAATTACAATTTAACTATAAATTTATTTCTCTAGTCCTTTTCTTATGAGAGCCGAACTTTTGAATAAAACCAAACAGAGAATACCATTGTTCAAAAGTCAAGTACCATGGTTTAAATACTCTCTCTGGACCTTATTATAATACATTTTGATTTGTTCTATATTTTATTTAGCATGTTATTTTAATTGAAAATAAAATCTTAAACATATTTTATAAAAATTGAGAGAATATACTAAATGTAAAAATACATATTTAAGGGAATAAGGGAATAATGAAAATGAAGATGGCATGAAGCGGCGGGGAGAAGAAGAAGAGAGATGAACAGATTAAAGACTTAAAACTTTGAAATTGAAAGAAAACTCTTCTCCGACTTGGTGCAGTACAGTTTAAGCTTACGTAGATATACAAAAGGTCAGGCCGGTAATACGATTTTAATTTGGGCTACTCATTTTAGAGAAAAATTTCTTACAATTTAGTCATTGTTGACGTGCGACACCATGTTAAATATACTTGAAGTTTTGAACACGCAACAATCATCTTTCCCATACAATATACGTATTGCGTTAGAAATAGAAAACCAGTTTCATTCCCTTTACACTAATTTCTTATGATGATTTGATTTCTTGTAAAAGAGACAAACTTTGAATTAAAGTGACAACTCGTATCATGAAGTATTATAATAAGGACCAGAAAGAGTATTTAAATCATATACCGGTAAAGATATAGTAGATCTAGCAGAGTATTTTGCGGTATTTAGTATCCGGAAGGTTAGTAGAGATAGGGTCAAATTAGCTCATGAGAACGATTAAGATGCGTGTAAACCTCAAATTAGTTTATATGTCTGGTTTTCTTTTTTAAAACATAAATATAAACAAAATCAAAACTTCAGTTTAATAAGCCGGCCGGCATTGGATCGACATACCTGCCACTTCCCGCTTAAATCATAAGAACTGAACTACAAATGTATAAAATTTTTAAGGGGAACGAAAAAGCTTTATAAAATCGTTCATAATGTTGTAAAATACCTTCTCTTTCGCCGAATCTTCTTGGTTATCAATCGAGTTAATTAACTCCGTGTTAGAGGATGAAACAGGGGTCCCTTTTCTTTTTATATATTTTCAAAATTATTTATGTGCTCCTTGACATTTTAAATTACTACGAACAAATATTGTAGCCCTACGATTAATGCTTAATCTAGAAAAAAAAAAAATAGAAATAGCAAGAGAAGAAAAAGAAGAAGCCACGTTCTAAGAATAATTTTTATGTGAATAAAATCATTTCAAAGAATACACACATTGTAAGCTAAAATGATTTACGGAGTACGGAAAAAAAAAAGAAAAGAAATAAATGAGCCTAAAAATGGATATGCATGCATTCAACTGGGCTGGAGTTTATTGCGAAGGGTGGATGCATTTTACAGAATACGAGGAGAGACATCCTCTGCATGTGATCTTTTCGGAACTGAATTGGATTTCTCGGTAGTCAACAATTAATTGGCAACATATACTATTTGATCGTTTCGTCTCCAGAAAGGGAGACAAAAAAATTGGTCATTCTTGCCTAGCTATTTGCATTATTCTGTCACAAATTAAA